TTTTTTTAATCCCTTTTCAAGAACTACAACGAACGGCTCCTTTGGACTACAGCGTTGGTTTCCGGGCTTTGTGATATCACAAAGCGGCTCATTAGAATATCATTAAAAATAATTCCCGCTTACAGAAATTCGAAACGGCGCCGCCGGTGTGCCTACACTCATAGAAAATAATGTATTCGAATTTTAAAGACGTGGTGCAATGCGACGCTGCGCTTCTCGTCCGGTGCACGAAATAATTCAGATGACTAAAATATGACTAAAACTAAATGGCATTTTAGTCAAAAGACTATGACTAAAACTAAGTCAAAATTTGCTGTCAAAATTAACACTGCTTTCCACAAAGTCTGGACCAATTTACAGCTTATTCTGGCCAAAGACTTAAACGAGAAGAGACTTGTTAAAGAGCTCATTTAATCTGAGAACAATTTTGAGTGGGTTAATCTGAAAATTAATATATTACAAAAATACACTGGCATTGGAAAAATTGACATTAAAATTCAGCAACACCAAACTATGAAACGAAAATGTATTTTAATAAGAGTTTTTACCATCCAAAGTAATAAATGCAAATGATTTCACACTAGGGCTGGGCAATCCAGCTCAATATATAAAAGTAAACGGCATTTCCCACACTGCACTGGCTATTGACACAGATTTCACCAATCGATTCAATTCTGATTCACAAGATCTTGATTTGATTTTAATTCGCTTAGATACATATCACCCACAATACATGCACATTTTTCTTAAGGAAAACAATCTCTCAACTAATGCTATGAACTACAATATGTCAGCTGGTGATAATGTTAGAATATCAGTAATATTAAAGATTTATTTTTGGATATACTGTAATAATCATCACTCAAACTAAAACTGAGATGTATACAAACATTACAACTGCACGTATCAGAGTTTCTATAGAACTACGTTTCTACTCCAATTCGTTGTTGAAATATAAACATTTAAACCGTGGCTGTCATTAAACTTATTTAATGTATAATTGAATAAATCTGTCATGATAACAAGAAGACATCACTAACAGATTAAATAATAATAATGAATATGTAATATAGTGCATATATTTAGCAAATGCTTCTCTCTAGAGATAGCTTTTTCTAGGTGACTAACGAAATTAGTATTATATTTATTAGGAATACATGATATTATCCTTAATATTTATTGAGGTAAATGTAACATTGCATGACATTTATTGACATCTTTGCACAGTTTAAACACTGTCCGAGCGATTACAAGAGACAAGACTCACTTCAGAAAGTTGTACTGTTTGAATTTTGTGATAAAATTGGCAGAATTTGAAAGCTCTGACTTTGATTTGAAAGGTAAAGCACAAAGCTTATGATTACTGGACGGCAGGTGCATTACAAACGTTTAGTGAAGTTTCGAAACTGCATTAACTGCATAGAGTAAAAGCCTGATCTTGAGATTTAAGAATCAATATCAGTTCATCAACATGATTACAGATTAAGATCAAGAAATCAATTCTGTCAACCCAGCCCTAATAATATTATTTACTCTTCCTAAGACATTTTAATACATAAAAAATGTCACACAGAGACTTCCTTGAAAATCTTGGAGTGATGAAGCACACAAATCTGTGAATTAGAGTTTCGAATCGATTCTCTTTTGAAATGATTCACGGAAATGAATCACTTACCAGCTCATTTTACAAAACCACATTATTTTTTTTTTTACTACTGATTGGATGCAATTGAAACATCAACTCTTTTTCACTGACAGAACTGTGAAAGCAAAGGAGAATAAGCAATTCAGATTGTACATATCTAGCTTACTTGCTAATAAGTGCTTCTCGGCATCTTTGACGACACTAACCTTGCAAATTTGACCAAATCCAGGTGATTCCAAAAAGCTCGTTTCTGTGCACAATATGCATCAGACGGTCAATAACCAGACCATGGTCATGCAATCTGAGGCCGAGACAACAAACGGTCTCTGAAACCTATGAATGACGTTGATCTGCTCAGATCTACTCCAGATCATCACAAAACATGCCATAATAACATCTGAACAGCTGTGTTCTTCACATGCCAGAGGGACACCAGCCACATCTGCACGCATCTAATCAGCTGTCAGATAAAATGCGGACACGACTGTGATTTCTGCTCATTGTGCACGACTCTTATCGCTTCACGAATGGCTTCTCTCATTTCCTTTTATAATCTCACTCCTTTAAAAACAGGCTGATCATCTGTTATGCAGTAACTGGGAGGAAGGTGAACAGTGTGACTGATGTGTGTGTGTGTGTGTGTGTGTGCAACTTGCATTACACAACTTAAGACACTTAGAGAATGCATGCACAAATACTCAAACTCATATGGCTGACATACATCCATGCATGCACACAGTGTGAATACACATAAGCACTCAAACACCACATGCATGCATGCATGCATGCACAGACATACTGTAAATACAAATAACACTAAATGGATGCATGCATGCATATTTATACTCAAGCATGTTACACAGAAAACCATGCATGAGCATGCACACACACCATCAAGCACTCAAACCCGATGCACTTATGTACATGTACTCAAGCACACAAACACTAACACTCATGCATAAACACATATAAGCATGCATGCATGCATGAATGAATTAATGCACACAAGCATGCATTTAAACACACACATACTCATACAAACCCATGCACATACACTCACACATATGTACATGCATCCACGCGCGCGCGTACACACTTCAGCATTGACAGCTCGTGCACAACTGCGTTGACAACTGCTTAAAACTGCAAAAGCACAGTCTGTCCTTCATCAACCCTTCTCATCGAGCATGTCCACATCTGTTCTTGCTCACATGAAGTTTGCAAAGACACAAATGCATGAGTTTAATCAGCATAGATGCTTTATAAGCTCAGTTTGTTTAGTCAGACACATGAGAACCGTCATCGCCATCGGCGAATGTACACGAGACTCATTTAAAGCTCACATAAAGGCTGTTTTTTTTTATATAGATATATACTCACTTATCATGCTATGTGCACGGCTTTCCCCCGCTCGTCTCGTTTATGTCTCGGTTAGTCCATTAACGCGCTGAAATAACTGAACACACTCGAGTCCTTCACCAGTACTTTCACACTTCAGTCTAACATGGAGCGAGTTAGGATTTCTGATTGACAGCGGCACGAGCCAGTGGCGGAGGAGGATATAAAACTCAAAGTCGCGTCCACAAATAACAGCCAATCAAATCACGTCGGAGGCGGGGCTACACGGTTTCCAATAGCGAGGTAGATTGTGTCTGTTTTAACTACTTGTATTCAATAACGTTTTGTGTGCTAAATTAGAGTATATATAAGTACATACGGTTAATTTTTTAATATTTAAAAAACAATTAAATGCATAAAGTATAAAAAGTCAAATTTGCCAAAAATATAACTTTTTTATTTTAAAAACAATCAAGCAAGCCCTGTCCAGATTTAAAAAGAAACGCAAAAGTAACGTAACGCATTACTTTCCATAAAAAGTAACTAAGTAACGTAATTAGTTACTTTCTTATGGAGTAACGCAATATTGTAATGCATTACTTTTAAAAGTAACTTTGGATATATATCATATTTAACTTTTATTTATATATTATGTGCTGACATAAAAAATATAAAAATGATACACTTCAAACATTTAGAAAATAATTAAGAAAAAAAGGTAAATAGATGTTTACTTAAAAGCAATCATTCTAACATAATTCAATTATTCATTTACAACATATAAACCAAAGGAAGAAAATGTTACAAAGGCAAAGTGTTCAAGATTCAGAATCAATATACACTCATTTTCACATGACGAGGCCCGATTCTGAAACTAAAATACATGTACATACACAAAAGAGCTCAAGAGGATAGAAAACAACAACTCCCTTGATTACGCTTTCCAATATTAAACTCTTTGTTCTCAAACAGTTAACAGTAAAGACAATAAAATGAGTTAAAATTAAAAAAAAATCTTATTATGCCCATTTATATTTTAAATAAGATGATACTGGACAAATTTATAGATCTTTTTGTGCGTCAATTAAAAAAAAGTTACACATAGGTCCATAGTGGACAAGAATGTCCATGTCAAAAAACCAGTGTCAGATAAGGTCTCATTTTAAAGAAGACCCATGGCAGATTATTGCTGAAGTAAAAAAAGTTCTAGATGTTTAGGTTTATGAACGATGTTTTATATAAAATATATATTTTATGAAACATGTTGAACACTATACCTGCTAGAAAATCAAAGCCATAACTCTAAACAAGCTGTATTCCATATTTGAGGTTGATATCTCAAAAAATGAGCTTTCGGTAAGATGTTGTTTGGGCGCAGTACCAGATTTTGCCCAGTAGATGCCAGCAAAACTCCGCTGGTGCACACAGTGGTTGGATTTGTGATTTGCAGTAGAGCTTTTCTCTCTCAAATATTACAAGAACACACAATTTTTTTTTATGACACACATACAAACCACACTCTGACAGCCATACCAACACACCCACACAATTATACAGTAGCTGCATTATTTATCCAATTGGCTCTATAATATGCAGAAGCAGAAAACAGGAATAAAGCGAGTATTTTCTTTACAGGTCAAACCTGAAAAAAATGGCACCATCTGGTGAAAAATAGTAAAAAAATTACATTTTAAAGCCTTGCCAATATAATGAAAGCCTATCAACAAATATTGCATAATTTTACAGTTAAATGGCACTGCGATTAAAAATAGCAGTTTTAATGGGTTTCAATGGGGACATGTTTGTCCTTAAGGTCCTGAGAGGAACATTTTTTGTCCCTAGTGCAAAACAGATGTATTAAAGGAAATTGAAGTGAAATAGTAAAATTCCAATAAAAATACACACCTGTGCCAAAATTTATGCAGTTGGCAATAACACAGGCAAAATGATTAAAAAAAACTGAAAAGGACAAAAATGTCCAAAAGGTCACACAAGGGTTCAATAATTAATCAGCCGAGACATATTTACATGTGGATTTGTGCATTACATGCATGTTCTGTTTTTTTATAATTCTAATATTATTTTATGCATCTTGTATATTTGTACTGCCACTGTATATGTGCAGTTGCAACATTGCAATTTCTCACTTTTGTTTTGAGATAAAGTCTTCTCTTCACTGTTTAACATTATAGAATCCTTCATATTTGCTAATAGCTAAGAGACTAAGTCAGTTCACGGTGTGATTGCAGAGAGCAATGCGGCCTCATTGAGGAGATTTCCAGCCTCTTTCCTGTACTTCGGACTCAGCTCTTTGGCTCTCCGAGCCTCTCTGAGGTTTTCCCGCAGGTTGTCCACCAGCCTCCTCTGCTCCTGGTGTCTGGATTCAGCAGCTTCGACCTGATTGATCATGCTGTCCTCGGCTCTCAGAAGCGAGTCGATCATTTCGTTGAGTTTAGTGCTGACGGAGATGATGGCTTTGGCGGCTCGGCTCAGCTCGGTGACGTTCTCCTGCGTCCGCTTCAGTTCGCTGGGGATCTCGGCCTCTGATCTCACCATCAGACTGAAGTCGTATCCTTTAACCTCCAGACTGATGTGGCAGAGCTCTGACGGAGGGAAAATAATGAGGGCACTCGATATAGACGGAAATAATTGTGCAGGATATAAGCCATAAATACAGATTCAGTATCCGGTATGATGGTGAATTCATTTCTGAATGACTAACTGCAATAAATAATTCAATGCATAATCAAACTAATAGCATCTAACATAAAAACAAAACAATTCAATAGACATGCATCTTGAAAAAAAAAATCGGATTGGCAAAAAAGGCCTAATATTAGCTAATTTGATGATGCTTACAAACAGTTTTTTTTCACAAAATAAGATTTTTCTAATTATATATATGTGTGCGTGCGTGCGTGTTTTAATGCATTAATCAAAATAACAAAAGCACTCAAATGTTTTAATTTTAATGACAAACAGAAGTATTCAAAATGCATAATTTAACTTACAATCTGCAAAGGAGTGAAACATTTGTTCAAATCAGTGTTATTATAGTAGATACTATTCAAGTTCATATTTTGATTTTGTTTTTATATTTTCTGCTTTTATGTAAATTTTAGTTAAAATTGTAGTTATTTTGTTGTGTGTTTTTGACTTATTTGGTTTTAATTTTCTGTAGTTTTTATTAATTATTATTTCCATTTTGGTTTTAGTTTTAGTTATTTTAGAGCATCAAGACAAACTAAATGAAAATGGGAAATGTTCCCATGTTAACTAGCTGATATAAAATAAGTTAGATTTTAATTTTATTTAATGTAATTTTAATTAATGAAAATGTTTTTTATGGTTTTAGTTAACTATAATAACCCTATAATATACTTCATTTAATGTCAAAAAACTTAAATACGTTTCTTTTTAACAAAATCTGTAATTTTCTGTGGCTGTAATTAGGCATTCTGAATGACTAATTAAATGCAAAGTTGCACACAACATAAACTTATAAGCAACTTTTATCCTTATTATGTATCCTATTTATCCTAGACAGGCTCTATTTGTAATGGTCCATTATAAATAAAGAGTTTTGCTGGAATATCTCTACACTGTGTGCAGTCGTTGCTCAGGCAGGCTTGTGTGAAGATCTTACCATGTTTCTCCTTGATTTTCTTCAGGCATTGAGACAGACTGTCGTTACTTGGGCAGTGGAAGTGGCTTGAAAGAGTCTGAAGCTGATTCTTCATCGTTTCATAACGGTCCTGCTGTTTGTTGAAAGTATCAGCAACGTCAGTAAAACGCTCATCGAGGCCGGGAACGCCAACACGACGAGCAGTAAAGCTGCCGCTCTTCTGAACTCCATCTGCTGGAGGATAAACAGATAGATAGAACAAACAATAGAACGACAGAACGATAGATAGATAGATAGATAGATAGATAGAACGATAGATAGATAGAACGATAGATAGATAGAACGATAGAACGATAGAACGATAGATAGATAGATAGATAGATAGATAGATAGATAGAAAGATAGATAGATAGATAGATAGATAGATAGATAGATAGATAGATAGAACGATAGATAGATAGAACGATAGATAGATAGATAGATAGATAGATAGATAGATAGATAGATAGCATTAGCTGCTGGTCGTGGTGGTCTTGCAGATTCTGTTTGTACAACAAACGAATAGATGATACAATTAATGAACGACAGAACGAATGAATGAATGAACAACAGACAGACAGACAAATAAACAGACAGACACACGAAAGATAGACAGACAGACAGACAGACATAGATAGATGATAGACAGACAGACAGATAGACATAGATAAACAGACAGATGATAAACATAGATAGACAGACAGACAGATAGACAGACAGACAGATGATATACATAGATAGACAGACAGACAGACAGATAGACAGACAGACAGATGATATACATAGATAGACAGACAGACAGATGATATACATAGATAGACAGACAGACAATAGACAGATAGACAGACGGACAGACAGACAGACAGACAGACATAGATAGACAGACAGACAGAAATAGACAGATAGATATAGATAGACATAGATTGACAGACAGACAGACATAGATAGACAGACAGACAGACAGACATAGATAGACATAGATTGACAGATAGACAGACAGACAGACAGACATAGATAGACAGACAGATAGACAGACAGACAGACATAGATTGACAGATAGATAGACAGACATACAGACATAGACAGTTAGACGGACAGACAGACAGACAGACAGACATAGACAGTGATTGACACAGACAGACATAGATAGACAGACAGACAGACAGACAGACAGACAGACAGACAGACAGATAGATAGATAGATAGATAGATAGATAGATAGATAGATAGATAGATAGACATACAGACATAGACAGTTAGACGGACAGACAGACATAGACAGATAGATATAGATAGACATAGATTGACAGACAGACAGACAGACAGACAGACAGATAGATAGATAGATAGATAGATAGATAGATAGATAGATAGATAGA